TATTCAGAATAGATTGGAAATTGTGTAAATGGAGGAAATAAAACATACTGAAATGCCAGCTGCATCTCCGTTTGCTAAGTCTTAAAGCTCCTGAGCCAAGTTAATTGACTCATCTGGGTAAATGTTTTGTTTTGCCACTGACGTGAAAGATAAAGCTCAGTAAGCCCCAAATTAGATTTAATTTGGACTGAACCTCTTGTTAAAATATATGTGGTCTCAACCACTGGGACCATATTTTGGTTAATCTATTGTTCAGTCCTTCCTTAAACCATTAGGTCATAATATTACATTACAATAAGAAACAAAACAAAACTCTGGATTCCACAGAACCGGTCTGATAGTGTTCACAGGCCCAATATTGACGATTGTAGGTGTTTTGATTATGGGTGAAATGTCAGAATTTTGATGAATGGCTTTGGTATCGACTCACCACAGACATGGAGATGTACATGTTTAAATTGTGTTGTCCCAAGAAATTGTTCGAAAAACATGAAATAACCACAAAAAACAAATCAGTACCCTAAAATAGTTATGTCCCCTTTACCAAAAACAGTATACTGCTGTGGTGCTTATTTTACAATAAGATAGGGGCAAACAGGACAAGAGAAGAGAAAAGAGAAGGGATGGGAACCTATGGGTTAATGGGCCAGGGCTGGATTAATCTTTTCCTTTCCTGACAACCACTATTAAATACCAATTCAATAGTATAATCTAATCAATGCTGAAACAGTTTTGAATGTTATGCCATACGTCAAAATGTCAAAAACAATCATTGGAGATTTCAGATTATTGATCTTACATTAAAAGTCTGATAAGAATGCTGGACTGGAGGATGCCACAGAGAGTTCAAACTGTCCATGCAATCAGGCATGGCTACTGTCCGCATGGGGCCAGACGGGAATGTTGTTCATCAAATCATTTGCCTTTGTTGAAAGTACATAAAATGGAATCTTTAACTGAAAAACAAACGACAACAAAACAACCTTCCAGTAATATTTTTGCTGTTTTCATTGGGATTCCTCTCACTTTTAATATTCTGAAGTGGCTGTTAGTCCTATGTCATTTAATATTGCTGAGTCATGTACATTTGTAAGCAAGTATGCATCTCAACCAGTCATACTACTGCCCTGTTCCCCTCATTCACTTATGCTGCTTTCCAGTCACATTCTTCTTTATTAGCAGCCGTGCCAGTGGCCATCAATGGAAACACAAGCTGAATACTGAACAGCAGTTAATGAGAGAACTTCACTGAAAACAGGCCAGCTCTGGCCACAGCACCGTGCTGAAAGGCTTTAAATCAGTGAGAAATGCATCACCGCATTTGACAATCTACAAAGATGTCCGTTCAGACGCTTTCATTTCATCACACTGGAGAAAAGTGATCCCCTGAGGATGAGACAATAAAGCACACAAAGCTTGCTGTTTGCATCATTGCTCTCAGTGCAGTGCAGCACAATATGAAGGACCACAATGATCACCCAGTGATGGTCCTATCTCCAGCACCACAATAAAAACCCAACACGCTCCACTGCTGTGAGACCATTTCATCATTTTGCAGGAGAGTAAAACACAGCACAGTCAAAAGCACTTTGTTTAAACCACAATACTCCTGAGGTAGCTGTCAGGATAAGCAACAGTAACAGTAAACAGCTTCTGAAGCACGGCGCAACAGTCTGTAATTTATTTATCTGTGCATTTATACATACAGTATGTGAGGATATGGATCACATTCTGTAGCATTTATACAAGACAAAGTGGCTTTGCAATGGTTTGTTGAACTCTTACAGCATTCTATTTGTTGCATTCTTCCTTAAAAGACATTTGATTTATTTTGTTTTTCATTTTTTTGTTTTCAGTTCTGTGATTTTGTTAATTTGAGAAATGGTCCAGGATATAACAGGGTAGTTAGGTTGTGAATGAACTTGTGCTTATACAGCATTTTTCCAGGCGACCTGACCAAAGCACTTTAAACTACATGCCATCCACCTAATCATGCACACACTCACACAATGGTGGATGCACTTGGGGGTTTGGTGCCTTGCCCAAGAATTCTTTGACACAGGGTCTCAAACCACTGATCTCCCAATCAGAAAGAAACTGCTCTTTCCCCCTGAGCCACAGCCACCGCACAACAACGGTGCATAAATGTCACCCAGAACACCCAGAATTGTCTCACCTCTGACACTGTAGTTTTTACACTTCAATTGTTTGAACTTTTACCTTAAAATAGACAACCTGAGCTCTCCAATGACATAAGAGAAATAGCCTTTACCAGCCTGACAGAATGACGAGCACGGCCCCGTTTATGGGGGACACATGTGCTGTGCCATCATAAAATAAACATCCATCTTAACAGGACTTTAATGAGGGCTAAATAAAATATCAGTCATATCAATCGGCCCAAACACAATAATAAGGGCAGAGACCTTGTAATGTTCAATTTAGATAACATATAAACAGCTCAATCAGCTGACCTTATGATTTTTTTAAAAATAATTTGCTCAAGCCAACTTCAGTAATTTACCAGCTATAGATGTTTGGGTATCCTGATTTTTAATTTGATGATTCTGAAAGATTACTTTTCACCAACTACAAAACAGCCTCACATCTAAAAACAAATATGTTCTGCTTTGTTTTTCTATGGTAATTGTAATAATTTTATCTGAACAAACAATTACTGGTTCGGGTATTAATACAAACCCCTTTAATTATGTAAGGGAAATTTTCAGCCAGGCTTGCTAAATAATAGATGAAGCTTCAGTGACAAAGGTATAATTATTTTTTATTTGTTTTGCTGAATACAAACAACTTAATCATCATATTCAAATCGTCAGCACTCTCCCTTCCATGACTGAGAACATATTCCAATCTCTCTTGTATTTGCATTGCTATGGCTCTCTAGGCTCGAACAATACAAACATAAATCCAACTGGCTTTGATGTTTATGGTACATGAATACACATTTCTCCAAAGCCCATCAGTATATTGACTGCACCATAAGCTGCCATGACCTTTCCTTTACAGCAGCGTCCAAAGATTAGTCAGCCAAATATGCCTCAGCCAAAATCAATAACTCTGCTAGATCGTCAACAGTACTGAAGATCAGAGACACCTTACCTCCATCACTCTGTCTACCTCTTAAAACAACTAAGATGTAATGTAGAAATATTTTGTTCCTGAATTTTGAAATAGAACTTTAATTTAATCGTTCACATATGGCTTGTCCTGTGATAACCCTAAATTTGGAAAGGTTAATAGACTCTGTACTGCAATTTAAAACAGAGTTACTGAAGAAATCACCATCTAGTGTGTGAAAACGAATAATTTCTTTCAGTATTAGATTAAACGTGTAGAATTTTTTTAAGCAAAGACATTGACAAAGCATCTTCCTGTCTCTTTCTATCTCTCTGTCAGATGGGAATAACTCATGCTCACTGTTAAGTCTCTAATACTTCCTCACTCCATCTTTCTCAATCTCTTTCTTGCCTTCTGTGACTCCAAACGCCATTCACTTTCCCAGTCTCAGCAAATCAAACTTGTGACCAATCATACAGCCTCACAGAACATGAGTGAAAAGTAGCTCATGTAGTGTTCTTAAGGGTTCCCAGGCAATTTGTCATGTTTCTGTGGGGAAATGTTTTTCATAATATGTTTAATCCAACATTCGGTCTGTGAAGTGCTGTTACATTGTGATAGAATATAATTAACTTCTTGTATGAAGTTCCAATTTATCATTTTTTTGTCTAACCTTTTTTTTTAAAGTTATCCAAGAAGAATAATAACATTGAAATTTGTCAATTTATCTCAGCGGTGTTTCATTTTTTAAGATTTGTTTGCAAAGAACATTGTAACTGCATTGTTTGAGACAAAGTACTCCAAAATGTATATTCAACATATACCGTACACAGAGAGTCTGTAAGATAGGAAGCAGCATACTGGTGCACTATGTGTACCATAATTTCAAGACTGCAGGGCTGATGATAACATGGATATTGATGTGGATTGTTATTCAAAGGCAGAGGCTGTCCCCATATTTCTGCATTTTGCCAACGGAACCCATGACAGTATCCATTTATGACCGCTAGAGGGCAGGAGCTATGTTCTGAGCTAATACAAGACGAAGAAGAAAAGAAATTGTAGCATACTGACAGTCGATGAAAGATAAACAATGGCAGATGACAAGGTCAGTTTTATAAACCACCTTTTCTGGCAGTTGTTGAATTGAACATTTAGCATACTCGTATAGGAATAATTATTTTAAGTTACTTTTGTTAGTCGTTGATGTTAGCTCAAGATGCTACGTGCTATTCCAGTTGAGTATCCTTATAGAAGGAGCTGCTAGCTGAATTTTCATAAAGTTAAGTTTAAAGTACGTAGATTATCTGTTGGATTTGTTTTAGGTATATAAAATATATATCCATATTATGCCGATACATTATTCACAATTAAGCTGCTTGAACAATGCACAAGCTAATTTTTTGATGACTGATGCAGGTCGATTTATTAAGTAACGTAGCGACTTTAAATAAGTTTGACTTCAAATGAAGAAATCTTTATTAAGCAAAAGAGATAAACGGAAGCTAAATCCAATATAATTTGTATAGACATTTTATACGTTTTTATCGTACTAAAAGGTATACGATATTAACTTTGCGTTGGAATAAATTAAACATCCAGATCAAGTAACCATTTGTTTGAAAATAAGTTATAGATTGGCCAATTGTGCTTTGATAAAGTCTCTTTTAAGCAATAGAAAATGTTACTCATAACGCCTTATTAGTTTATGACACCAGTAATCACCACTGACAAGATTAGGTTTATGACCAACACCATAGCTTACCACACAATTCAGAATCGTTGATGGTTAATTAGAAATAATGATAAAAGGCTTGTAACTTTCAACTATTTTACCTTTGCTTTGTACATTTGACATGGCTCTGTTGTCAAAATGATGTTGCCCTGGATAATTGTTTTGTTTTGTTTATGTGTGCTGTGTGTAGAATCCTCTGGGGCAGCTGAAGGACCTGGTGGAGCTGAAGGATCAGCTGGAGGACATACAGAAAAGGATGGAAGACGAGATACAGGCTGGGATTCCTCCAGTAAGACTCACGCAGACATTGACATGAGCATTTTCAGTTGACCTTCCCTTGCATTCTGTTCAAGCATTGTTTGAGCAAAAGACCACGTCTTTTTCAGGTGTCGATTTGAACCTACCGCCCCTAATGCCACCTCTCATGTCTTCTTTCTCTCGTAGGGAGGCAGTCTGCTGGCTTCTCCTTTCCTGAAGGGTTTCATGGCAGGGTACATCGTCGCAAGGCTCCGTAATTCTGCATTAATGGGTGTTGCAGTGGGAACATGTACAGGAATGTTTGTGGCACAAAATTACTCTATTCCTAACATTGAAAACACCATCAAGGACTACATAAAGAGTCTAAAAGATGCACGAAAATGAGCAAAATGGAGTCAGATTCAAGTGAATGAGAGCAGTAAAAAGGATGACGGTTATCTACCAAATAGAACAACTGTAAAACTGCCGATAAGAGCATGTTTTCATTTTTAAACTGGAAAAAAGCCAAATCACATTTTCATTGTAAATTAGATACTTTGTTTTCATAAATTTTGAATTGATTTGAATTGCATTTAGCCAAATTCATCTAACTTTTGTACTAAGTACTTGTGTTCAAATTGATATCAACAGGACTGTTGAATTTCCCGCATAATGCTACTATTGTAAGTCATAGTGGCAGCTGAAAACAGATGAAAACAGATTCTTACTTACACCGACAAAGAGGAAATAGAAGATAAGTGATGTGTGAGCTTTGGGAATTTTCTGAACTTTACGAGGGAATCTATCATCTTTTTTTTTCTTCTTACTTCCTTAATTATGTCATAGATTATTTTCAATCATGGTTTCAAATGGTTTACACCAAATCAGGTGTGATGTGCAGCGCAGAGTTGCTAAAATAATTGCTAAATTTCTCTTCATGATAGTTTCATAAAACCTTGAAAATCCATATATGCAGTTGGATTTTTTTCATTTGCAATGTATCCATCTAACCAAGCATTGCCTGTAGCTGTAACTGTCATAATCTTACCAATAACGAGTAATATTAACCATAAAAACATACTGTTAGTCTCTGAACACTCCAGTATTCACTATTATTCGCAATCAAAAATGTAGAAAATAAGCTGCGTTCAGTTTCCTAATTGAACAACTTAGTACATATTTTACCTATTAGTTCATAATTAAGTAATGTTTCTTCGAGATAAGAAGAGCATAAACATTTCCTGTTTGAAACGTCTGTTGAGTATTGGCTCAGCAGATCAGAACTCAAGTAACGCACAACAGTCTATTTCTAGAAATGTAGTGTACAGCCTATGTACAATTTCAGTATCCACAGATAACCAAAACCTGTTGTGGTTATTGGAAGATTTTTCAGTGTTTGCCTGAAAATATCTGGGATGTGTTTGCAGGTACAAAATCCTCTTGCTTTCTATTTTAGATTATAGATTTAAGAAAACTGCCATTTTTGTATTGGTATTCCTGGAAATGCATTTATTTTTTGCACATCTGAGCTAATTCACCCAGATTTGTTCTCCCAAGCAAGATGTTTTTTTCGAGAGGTTGTTTTGTCAGTCCTGGGAATTTAAACAGGGAAATGTGTGTTGTATGTAACACAACTGTGTGCCTCCACTGATCTGACTTGATATTATCATCTCATGCCATGTGTGCAATAGCCTTCTGCTGAAAAGACTTGGCTGCCTACTTAACATGCTGGAAAATCATTTTTGTTTTGCACTTCCTTTAAGGGATCTAAAACTGTTACATTTATTTAGACAAAAATCACCAAAGGTCAAACGCTGTTGAGAAGATTTATTTTAAATGTGGTGTTTGCATCCCTATTTAGCTGTAGTAGAATCTGTGTTCAAAGGCCAAATGCAGACATGGTAATGGCATCCAGGGGTTTGAGGTGTTTGGTTTTCAATGTCTTTGTCATCATAGTGATGTCATCATTTACTAAATTATTATAATGCAGTTTTGAATATGAGAACCTGGTTGATTGAGGCTTTAAAGTCTCAATCCCAATAGAGCCACTTAAAACTTCCCTGTAACGTTGTCATTGGGTAGGTCGCCCTCTGGTGGCCATGCGGCAGAATGCAGGGTGAAGGCACTTCTTACTGACAGCATTTTGGTTGGACTGTGTCCTTCCAGCAGCACTTTCACACTAGTTTGGCCTTACACAGATATAAGATAAGTAGAAGAGAGTTATAGTAAAGGTTTTACCCATGTTTAGCTGACTTAAGGCTGCAATTGAAAAAAAAATATTTGTACTGTACGATTGATAAATGGAACTCGTGCCTCTTGACAATCTTTGTGCTGTCTTTTTGATGTTTACTTTCAGTTTCCTTATTTCCATATTGTTAAAGGCATGTTTTTTTAAGCAATACCTCACTGGAATTCTTTTGACCGGTTTTGTTGTGTTTTCATCATGAAAAATATCTCAAAAACTTTACGGAAAGGGGTTTATTTGGGTTGTTCAAATAAATTTTGAATTTTTTTTTTGTGTCATGTTAAATGTCTGCATACCAATGTTGGTCAATACATCTGAAAAGCCTTTTTTACCTTTAACTTTCATTTTTAGAGATTAAGTGAAGCAACAGTTGCATTTACACAACACATGCACACACAGAATCAAATATTTAATCTTTAAAAGCCATTAAATACTAATCAAAGACAAAAAGGTTCTACTAGCTGTGTTATATTAGTTGCACAAAAGTGAAGACAGTTTTCAGATTACTGGTCGCCAGCAAATTGTTCATGTCAGAAAGTAAATCAGCTATGTGCAACAAGCTAAAAAGTACAAGGATTATGATGGTGATTACAAGATGGAGAAAAGTTGGAGCATGTTTCAAGAAGCTGAACGAATGCAGATTTCAAGCAGCTTCAGTTCCCTAAGAAACAGAACAAGAAGCAGATAAATACCACAATCATTAAACTACACAGAATCTGAGTTTGATTGAACTTGTGCTAGATGAAGCTAGAAGGAAGTGTGACATGTTGCAAGACATTAACGTTTGTCTACCCACCGCAGGTTTAGGCCTCCACAGCGGTCAGCAGGCCACCTACAAAGACCAGTTCAAAATCCAGTTAGACAATTCCTTTGGAGAATAACTGACATGTATTGGAGTTGCTTGAGCGTCTTCAGATTATGGTTGACGTGTGCGTCTCCATTTCTCTAAATCTGATGTCACAGCCAGCTGTGTTCTCTCACCACTGACGGGAGATTTGATGCAGCCGGCAGACCCTTGGCTCAGGGATCCAGGGATCTGCTCCCCGTTGACTGTGTTAACACACCAGCACTCTCCCATGAAGCACTGCTCGGCCTTGTAGAGGCCCTGCTGGTCACAGCTGGGCCTGAAACCTGGCACTTGCACAGCCTTCAGTCCAGCAGACTGCAGCTGGCAGGCAGTGAGTGGAGCGGCTTAAAGAGGAAGGAAATGATTTATATACATAGAACAGGGACGCGTGTGTAATTACAAACTTTGATATAAAGTAAGTAAGTGAAAAACGATGAATACATTAAAATCATGCAAACACATACCCTTCTTTTCTGGGGCTCCAGTTGAAGACTCCTGTAAATAATCAGAAAAAAAAGAACAGGCAACTAAGAAAAAATGCCAACTACTTGAAATACAATAATATGACATTTTTCAATATTACATCATCCTGAGAGGTATTTCCTAATAGCAGCCTAAAATCTTTTACCTCCATCATTGTGTCATCCATCATCTCGGGCAGGGCCATCATGGGAACATGCATCCGTGCAGGCACAGATGCACCTAGACAAAAAAAGGAAAGAAATTGTATGACACACGAATTTATAAAACTTGAGAAGGAAAAATGTTTTAATATTTTCAAAGCTGGTCTCAATCTCGACTGTCTGTCAGCTTGGTCTGGACCTATTGATTTTGATCCAATTGATCTGAATCCTTTTTCAAAGGGCAAGGTTTATGTCTTAAAGGCACATTTTAAGTCACTGATCTTTTTTACTCATAAGAAATATCAAATGGTTACTGAGATCAAAACTGAAAAATAAATACTTTTCTCATTGGAAAAAATATATTCACAGCACTTTAATACACTTTAAATACAATCTACAGGCTACTGTTTACTTGGGTCTGTGCAATGCTTAGAAATGAGGATCCTTTTAGATTTTTTGGTATACTGATCCCATTCTCACTAAATTCGTTCTAAATTGGACTGAATGTGGCCTCACCGCCAGATCTCCCCCTTGTAAGGTCAGAGTTCATCTTCTTGTTCTGCTCCTCCAGAGATTTGATGTCGCTTTTCTGGCTGAGGAGGAAGTAGCCGATCATCACCTGACTCACAATCAGCACGCCGGCCAAAAGGGTCAATCCTGCCACCTTGTAGGCCCGAGAAGAGCGGGGACTTGAAAACAAACACACAAAGGCATGACGGTGGTTATTCATGGGTGTCAGAAAAAAATGTATCAGTAAATGCCACATTCATGTTCACCTTGTGTGGGGAGTGAAAAGTTGGATCCATTTTACTCTTGCTTTTCTTTGTTTTTACTATATGTAAAGCACTTTGTGTTTTAATTTTACTTATCTAAAAAATTGATTTATAAAAAAAGATGAGTTAATTAATTATCTGGCATATTAAAATGTATGAGGAAATATATAAACTTGACTTAGAACTGAGAACAAATCTGTGAAAACGGAACTATGCTTTACTATTTACCCTCAAGTTAGTCATGACATCACCTGTTGCTAACCAGAGCGTCTTTCGGAAATTTGTTACCATCTACCATTTCTGAAACTGTATTAAATGTCCTATTACTTAAAGAAGAAAAACAACCCACATGCTTCACACATATGTTACATGCTTAAAGCTAATTTCATGAGTGGTATTTGCTGATGACATATCAGAATTTTGTCAAGTCCTTATTTTGAATGGAAAAAATCTAAGTAAAATCCCAAATGTTTTTTTACACTATTACCTGAGCCTGTGTATATATAAAAGGAATTACATTCTGTGCAACCAAACTTTTATCCCAGTGGCAATAAAATAAATTAATTAACACACACAACTGAGCACAGAAAAATTAAACAAACATACACATTAGAGGTCCAGTTTCTGGTGATTTTTAGGATATACTCTCCTCTTACCTCTGTGCTGGTGCTCCAACATTGACGGCTGCTTGCTGGTTGGGGACCCCAATGAGGGGATGATTAGGGTTCTCTGCATCTGCCATTCTCACACAAAACAAACTCTAGAAGCACACACAAAACAAACAGACAAAAGTTTGAACAAAGTGAAACCATCTTGACCGCTCATACTTACAGAAACTGAGACAATACCTTCTTTTAGAGTAGACGGAAAACTCTTCTGTTGTACAAGTGAATGATCTCAGAAAGGTTTTAACTTTATGACTGTATTGAGTCAAGAGGAACTGAAAGTGGCTTACAGGGAAAATCCACATGTACTCTCAACACAGCCAAATTCAGATCAGGCTGCATTTTTTATACAGTCTAAAATTGTGATTGGCTGCTCTCTATGACTCATCAGCAGTTACCAAGGCAGAGCACAACACCGTTGATACATTTTTTTAAACAGGTCTTTGAGTTGCTAATAATCCATTTGTAATTGTTTTTTTTTTCTTTTCTAAACAGTCTACACTTTATGGAATAACTCAATAAATGATGAGACAAAAAAGGAAGTTGAAAGCAGACTGCATTGTTTGCATTATCTGTTGTTCAGCTTCTAGGGCTCACTATTTCCACCAGACCACACTTTTTCAACATTTCTTCCTTGTGAAGGAAAAACGTTTTAAATATAAACAGATTTTTCATTATTGTTTTCTCATGTGAACTTAATATTAGCATGTTTTATTCTGCTTCTTCTACTTGTATTTACTTTAAAAATTTGACCAGTCTGCAAGCTTGACATTGTTTTATATCTACTGGGACAAATACAACTGTTAAGTTGATTTCACAAGTGTTTGGTTAACAATCTTTTGATTGACTGCAGATATGAGAGTCTACTTACGATTCAATGGTTTTGTTTGGATAGTTAAATATAAAGTAAGATCATAAGGATAATTATCTCATTAGAATAATCAAAATAATGATTTAGACTAAACATTCATATTCCAACACTTTCATATTACTAGATTAAATTCTTGTAATTTCAGTCATTCTAACTAAAAAGCTCACAGAATCACCACATACCAAGTATTAAATTATGATTAGTTTTGGTGTAAATGATAATATAGAGTAAAAACATATTTATTTCTATGTGTCTTCATATTTAGAAAATTTTCCATCTTTATCCTTGAATTTTAATTTGAAAAAAACGTTTCCAAAAGAAAAGAACACAAATCAACACAATTAAGTCACCAAGGCGTGGTAAATTAAAAATACAGATCTCTTGCATAACTGCAAAAGGCACTCTACATGTGTGCCTACATGAACAGGACAGGGCAGATTCAACGTTACAACAGGGCCACAACGGGCCCTCTTTGTGGCCACACAGTTTACTAAAAGATCATGTTTCACTTATTAAGCATTTTTAAAGATACATTTTATGATTTACTTCCAATAGGTGGCATTATTCACTGATGGTGTGCCTCTAAACACACGGTAGAAGCAGTTCTGGCCCTTTAAGAGTTTTGGACGCTGTGATTGGTTAAACCGGTTGTGATACAGGAAGCAGTTTTTGAGCTCCACAAAGAATTCCACAAATGAACAGGCCATATTCTGTGTGTGAAGGTATAATATTATGCTATGGAGGAATGATAGCGGTTTGAATGAAAATGAAAAGCTGTGGCCTTGCTATATTTGTATCGCCAGCATTAAGCGCGAAATTTGAAATGTTAGCTAACCCAAGCTTGGTTGTGATGGCTAACTGTTGCATGTTCATATGTACTTCTTTAGATACTTACATTAGTAGATAACATTTTACCTTTTTTCTGTCAAATATTATTCACTCTGAAACAACATCCAGTTACCTAGCAATTGCTGTCAGCTACAAGTTAATGCCAATACAGAGGCACAAACAATTTCCTTGTCGTGTTATTAATTGCTTTTTTTAGCTTCACAACTTTGAGATAACCCCAAGCTTATATGTATTCTAACAGATGGAACGAAGACCCAGAGCGACAACAACTAAAGTTGTAAATTACAATGACAATGACAATGTGGAATCCGACTTGTAAGTAGTTGATTTACAGCACATGCATGGTAATCGATTAATTAGTTTTCACATGGTTATATACATGGTTTTATATTGATTTCTACATCTATCTAACTATCTATCTATCTATCTATCTATTTATCTATCTATCTATCTATCTATCTATCTATCTATCTATCTATCTATCTATCTA